CTGGATGTGTCAGAAGCTGTGGGGGTCTTGAAGATCCTCCGCCCTGGTACTGTCAGAGGTTTGTTGACAGCGGCCAACACTGGAGCTGGTTTTGGCTGCAGGATAAAAAACATTAAAACCAAACTTTTAAAATGCATCATTGGTTTTTGTTTCAAATATAATTCTGTCAAGTTTACCGGTTCCAATTTAAAACAAGCACCCCACAGTAAATATTCACCTAACAAAACAGTGCTGTTGCAAATGTTTTCCATCTCACAACCTATCAATCTGAAGTCCTTTTTAGAAGACACCATGCCGGCAAATCCGCATAACACTGCCGCCACGGCGTGTCATGCATGTGACGTGGCGGCATGCGTAGCGGGAGTTTTGCGGCATTCATGCCGCCATGCTTGGTAATCATATTACCGCAATGCCAGACTTGTGAACGCATATTACGCCTTGGTGCAACAGAGAGAGGAGTGGGGAGTTGCAGCCGTGCTCCGGCCTGCAACTATTTAAAAAATAAAGTAAACACGGCAACAAGTTTCCTTTTTGTAATCAGAACCAGCTGAGATGATAAACTAGAGTGACACACACACACACACACACACATACACAGAGAGAGATGATGAGCTACAATGTAGCCACAACTGCCTTGGGACGCAATGACAGAAGCAAGACTGCCAAACATAGGCGTCACCGGTCCCTCTAACCACCACCTACAGGCAAGGAGGGTTAAGTGCCTTGCCCAGGGACACAACAGCAGCATTCTCTGACAGGAGCCTGATTACTTGACAACCCGCTCAACCTCCTGAACTACTGCTGCCGAGCTATTCCAAATTAAACTTCCCATAAGTTGAAAACTAGAGTAACTCGTGTCAAGATTTACACTCCAGTGTTGATCGTTTACCTTTCCAGTGAGCAGCATCTGTCTCATCTCTGCCGTGAGGTACTCCTTATCGTTTTTGAAATCCTGACAAGGAAAATTACAAAATCATTATTTTCTCTCTCTCCATCTATTTACACACACGCGCGCACACACACACACACGTACAAGCACGCACACGCACACACTAGGATTTGAAATGTTATGACGACATGCATTTAGTGTTAGAAATAGCTTAAGGTCCCAAAACATTATGAGCACACTATATAATGTACATCTCTGTGTGTGTGTGTGTGTGTGTGTGTGTGTGGTATGACCTTGTCCTGTACAAGGAAGAACTTTGAGGGTAAGACTGGCTCTTTCTGGCAGTCCAGGTGACACGCGGTGCTCTTGTTAGCGATGACAAATAGTGCAACGTCACAGACGATGTACAGTTTCTGTAAGGTCACAAGATTCCCAGTAAGAATCATTTGAAAGTAAACAAATCAACTTCCTGCTTTCACAAAAATGGATGTGTTAAATGTCAGACTTCCACATTCTGCTTGCCCGTTACAACACCAGATTAAATCTTTTAACGTCACATGTGCCAAACACCTCATTGGCCTTCACATCCTCAGGACACTGAGCGTCCTTTGTCTGCTTGATGTTCTCGACCATCTTCCGAAGGAAAGCGTGGCTGTTGTTCTCATTCTTGGTCATCAGGACTTCTAACATGAACCACAGGCACCTGAAGAAAGCAAAGCGTAAAAGGATTCAAGCTGTAGCTAAACCACATTTGTCTGGTTTTCAGGATTCACAACAAAAAAAGCCGTGTTTGAAACACACACGTTCAGCTCGACACAAACACAACACACACTCACTCTTTAATGTCTTTCAGCTGTTCGTATTCATGCGGTTTGGTGAAGTCTGGGTCGTGGGCCAGCAGGTGGATCATGTAAGGAACCACGTATTCAGGAAGAAGGGAGATGAGTTTTTCTGGTGGGAAAATGAAAATTCCTTTTAATGAGAACAACCAGAGACATCAGCTGAATTATGAATTATGACCACAGACCCTGAGTGACGGGGTTCTGCTTGATGTACTCTCTGCGGACGGAGATATTCTTGAGGAGGCACTGTCGGGCGTGGGCCCGCCGCTCCTTCACCGGGTCCTTGGCACACAGAGCAAAAACGGCCAAGTACTCCAGGGGCAGCAGCAGCTTGACCAGAGCTACGTGCAACTTCTGTGCAAAGATCTGACGAACCTGGTAGCACTCGTCCTGTGGAGAGTTAAGATGCTCATGAGACCAACTGCTCACATGGAGCTCATGTTTTAGACATCTGGCTGTAAGAAAGTTGTTTTCACAGCACATTGTGGGACTTGTGTGAAATGATTCAGCATGCCTTAAGATGCATCCATCACTTGGTTGTTTACGTTTTAAGAACGCTAGAGTCCAATAAACTATGGAATGAAAAATATTTGTAAAAGTGACGCTGACATTGATGACGAGGCCGCAGAGCTGAAACTGTTCTGGTGTGATGATTTCATGGTAACATTGTTCCTGCGCCAGCTTCATGATGGCCGCCCCAGCAGCCAGCCTCAGACGAGACATGTCCGATTTACTGGGAGAAAGAGGACAGAAGCAGCTAAAGTCTGGAGTCTCATGGGGAATGATGGCTGCCACACGTGACTGAGAGCTCAGCTGAGCTACCTGATTTTCTTCTGCTCCGTCAGGTCTCCCTCGCTGACGAGCATCGCCGACAGCAGGCGCAGGGTGGAGTTCGCCGATTTGGATTGGTTGTTCTTCATTCCCAGTAACCAGCGCACCAAAAGCTTGATGGCATGGACCTGGAGGACAGAGGGGAAACGTGTCTTTTGTTTCTTGTGACACTTAACATCTGTTTGTTAATATTTTAAAAAGGGCCCAAACAGCAATCTGTAATCAGGTACCTTTGCTAAGACCTCAGGAGAAACTTCCTCATCAGCGGTCCATAGCTTCCCGTTCTTGTTTCCCACTGACTGAAGACACAGAGATAAACCACATCTTTGCTTTCTTTATGTAAACAAACACACATGTCATTTATTTACAGCTGTATGTATTTGCCCAGTAAAATGCAGTTTGTAACAACTTAAAAAAAGATGCTAAAGCTTAAAGCTAAACGGGCCAGACAGGTAAAAAAAAAAAAGTGACTCCTGATGCCTTGTGTGTGTGTGTGTGTGTGTGACTCCTGATTTAGGTGAAAGGATGGCTGCTGCACACACCCTGTCATTCATGAGCAAGTCTTTCACGATGAAGTTAGCCACAATGGATTTCATCGGTGATGCAAACTGATCTGGAGCCAGCATGGCTATATGGCCCAGGGAGACGAGAGGAGTGATGAGCTGCTCCGGGACGTCGGCGTTCAGACTGTGTGACAGAGGCTGTGGAGGAAGATGAACACATCCTGACACATAAACGGTCTGGTGACACCAATAAAAACACTTAACATGAAAAGTTTGATCCCTACAGACCAACATGAAATTATTCCCTACTTCAAAAATCTGTGCCAGTTGCACTTCCTTGTTGTTGAAAATAGCATGGATACAGTGGACCGCCTGCTTGGCCTGGTGAGGTGTTCCTCGTTTGGCCTTCTGGTGCAGGATGGGAATCAGTGTCCTGAAGAACAACAGGAAATCTTTCATTTACATGTTCATTCTCACAGAGGCATCTTAATGTTCTTTTAATGGACAATCTTGTCAAACTGAGGAAACCTGTGTCAAATCCAACTAAGCGTCAATTATTTAGAACACAAACACATGAAAGGATCAACGCATCCATCTTCTTACGATCGAATCTGTTGCAGCTCTGTCTCAATCTTCTGCCCGGTATTCCTGAAAATCTGGATGGCTGCTTCTGCCACTTTGTCATCCTCCATCTTTAGACACTGCAGCAGTGACTCGTAGGTCTCAGCCGAGTGAAAGGCTGTGGGGTGTGTAAATGACAGGACCTGAAAGCAGAGGGAAACTCATTAATTATCCAACTGTAAAGGGCCATTTCAAGGTTTTCTCTGGTTTCGATCAAACCTTGAGTAGCTCCAGTCCGGAGCGGATGGCTGTATCAGGGGTGACGCCTTCCTCGTCATCATCCGCTGTTCCCTCGATGGATTTGTTTAGCAGCTTCACCAGAGCACTGAACCAAAAACACAACATCCCTAATCCACACGTGTGTCTGGACTCATTTATTAGTGTGGTTTCCCAAAAAGATGAAAGGGTTAAAGAGGAGCGGAGACTGGAGTTGCAGTTGCACATGACCACCGCTAGGTGGCTCAGTGAATGATGATAGCTCAGTGTTATGCAACCACACACACACACACACACACATTAAGCACTCAGGTTCAGAAACCTGAAGACACAGTTTCTCTTTTCTGTGATTGAAAACTAAAACTAGAATTTAAAAACACATTTAAATAAAAAATGTTCACCTCAATAAAATTAAAAAAACTTAAAATCACCGCAACATAAAACAAGCCAGTTCTAGTATTGTTGTCTTAATCTTTGAGGATTTTCTCCGACCTGATTGCCTCGGAGTCGATGTGAACCGGTGCGATCCGCTCCAGCAGGAACTTTACCATCTCCAGGAAAGGGTTGGTGGGCTGTTTGGGGAATGTCAGCTTACGAGTAATCTCCCTCTGCACAAGTAGAAATAGGAAACAGTAAATATACAGCGGGTACAGAAAGTATTCAATGGCAGAAGATCCCCAAATCCAGGTGTAAGAAACTTGATGCATCTTTACCAGGAAGACTCACGGCTGTACTAGGTCAAAGGGTGCTTCTACTAAATCCTGAGTAAAGGGTCTGAATACTTAAGACCATGTGATATTTCAGGTTTATTTTTTTTTATAAATCTGCAGAAATGTCTAATATTCTGTGTTTTTCTGTCAATATGGGGTGTTGTGTGCACATAAATGAGGAAAATAATTTATTTAACAGATTTAAGCAAATGGCTGCAATATAACAAAGAGTGAAAACTTGATTGGGGTCTGAATTCTTTTCGTACCCCCTGTAAGCATTCATACTAATTATTGCATGATAAAAAAAAACTTGACCTATGAAACTCAGAATCTGAATTAGGTTTCTGCTTTGTGCACGTTGAATTGGATGTAATCCACAGCTAGAGAGCCTCGTCTCACCACACAGATCTCGGCCTGTTTGCAGGAGCAGGTTGGACTGATCAGCATCTCCAGCTGGACTCTGAGCTTCTCATCCTCACTGAGAACCTGATTGAACTTCTTCATGAAGTCCTGGGCCTTCCCAGCATCTGGTAGGTTCTCTGCAAACATCAATAAAGGTAAAATAAACCTGCTTAACAGCCAAGATGAATAACTATATGTGCATGTTTATGTTTCTAACTCACTAGCAATGCTCATGAGCTTCCCAAACATGGCTGTGTTATTGGCCTCGGACTGCCAGGAAGAAGACAGAAAAAACTTGTTACAGATTAATTTTAGATTCTTGTCTCATAATTGTTGGACAACAGGTGAGCTTGAACGCACCGCTGGCAGCTTGTGATGATCAAGCAGCTCTTTGACGAGTCCTCTCAGCATGTTCTGACACTTCCACATCTCATTCAGAGCCCTGGAAGCAAAGATCACAAAGACAAACATCCTCCTGTTATGGACTTGTTGATGGTTTAATGCTTTTGATTTAATATTGTGTGTGGAATATGGCTGACTTTTTATCCAACGTAACACTTCTGAATTAACGCACAAGTCAACATTTATGTGTAAAACATTAAAACCATTGTGCAGACTTTGCTAGTTACTAACTTGACAGCATTGGTGTCGAGGCAGGCATACAGGTAGTACAGACACTTCATCTTCTCCTCTGTGTCCAGACTGTGGGGAACCATGTACTGAGCAAAAATCTTCTCTACTAGTAATCTGTGGGAAGAACAAATCAAATTTACTAATCATGAAATTTAAAACGTACAACTGCCTCCTCGGTTCGGTGGGAGGCCACTCACTTGTCATCGATGCTGTTCTGATAGTAGATGTGCAGCAGCTTGTCTTTGATCCAGCTGATCTTCAGGGCCGACTCCTTTCCAGCCTCATGGTGCAGACAGTACTTCTTGTAAAGCTGAGCCAGGCCCATCATGGCCTCCTTACGCACACGCCACTGCAGGGGAAGGCGAGGAAACCAGATTAAAGAGGGGAAAATGAAATTAGGATCAAGTTTGTGGTCAGAGATTCACTTCAAACCTCTGTGATGGTGTTTGCATATTAAAGGCTGAATATGGAACAATTTAAAGCTTTATTTTTCAAAATAATACCTCCACGGGGCATTTAGAGGTGTGCAGAATGAAGGTAGAGTATTTCCTTTAAAAGCTATATTTTCATTAAAAAATAATCAAATATTTATTTAGACGGGTACAACACTGGGTTTACGTTTACATCTACCAGCCACCGGTGTGGGTTGTCAAACATGCACTCGGCACGGCGAGGCTGTGGAAAATGACGGACTCGGCAAGTCAAGCAGCTGCTTTTGAGCCAAGAAGACGTAGTTATGCTCATCAGAAGAGGAGCGGCCATAAAAGATCTAGAACCAGAGTGAGTTTAGGTGAGGCCAACAACAGATGGACACAAATGAAACAGCAAACCTGGTATCCCAGTAGCTAGAAACCTTGTTCTATTGTTGCAACTACAACCTCCACACACTAGATGTCGCTTTGGTGTTTGTGCTCCATATTCAGCCTTTAATGTGTCAAAGGAGAGGATAGAAACTCTTTCCACCCTAAGAACAAACAACACTAATGAACCACCTGAGTCCAGATTCCCAACAGCTCTCCTACATATTTATCTCACCCTTTTATCAAGGGTCCTTTCTCGCACAAAGCCCAGCAGCTGGTCGTTGACCAAGTTCAGGTCCTTCTTTCCAGCGTTGATGATGGTGACAATTACATCATGGCGGATGGCTTCCTCCGGGTCGTGGGAACGCACTTTCAAATACTCTGAAGAAAGATGACAGACACACAAGCGTGTTTCTGTAAACGCGGTGAGCGACAGACGTTAAATCAGCACAAACACAAGACAAAGCACACCTGTCAGGTCCCGGGCCAGGTCAGGGTGGTTCATGAGGCAGTGGCTCGCAAACTTCACACACTCCAGCCTGACTGGAACATGGATGTCGTTAAACCTGGGATAAACATAACAAGCATGCAATGATTAGTAAGAGTAAAAACCCAAATCTTCCTCATCTAATGAATAAGAAACAGAGATTAGAGCCATTTATGGTTCTGATCACTGAAAGCTGGTTATGACCCCAGCTTACCTGCAGCTAGCAGCTTATTCAGACCTCCAGCTCCAACTGCTCTAGTCTATGTTTTTGTTTATGTTTATTCATTTGGCAGACGCTTTTATCCAAAGCGACACAATTTATAACCTATAGGGCATGTTGTGATCTGTGGGGGAAACCGGAGTACCCGGAGGAAACCCACGCATGCATGGGAAGAACACGCAACTCCACGCAGAAAGGCCACAGCCGAGTTTCGAACCTGCAACCTTGGTGCTGCGAGGCAACAGTGCTAACCACTGCGCCACCATGCAGCCCTAGTCTGATGGGCTGCTCGGTGCTGACGCTACTCACCGTCCAAGGAAACACTGCCACAGTGGTCTGTTCTGGGAGGCCAGCTCCGAGTCTTTGGCCCCAAATAACTTTGCTAGCAGTCGAACGACAGCCAGGCGCTCCTCACCGTCGTTGCTCTACAGACAAAAACACAGAATCCATCTTTAAGCTTCTCCTCAAGCACTAATTCATTAATTAACATTAATATAATATTATATATTAATTCCATAAAGTATAATATTTATTACATTATTGAACAACAAAGATGTTTTCTTTAGCAAAAATTCAATTATTTGTATTGTAACTGTTCACTTTGGGACTTGTGGTAGACAGTACTACAAAATGAAAAGTTGCAAATTAATATATAAAATATCAATATAGAGACAACTACAGCTTTACAAAAGTCAACAAAATCAAGCTCCTATTAATGCACAGGAAAAGAAGAAAAAAAGAGTCTGAATATTCAGCATGTAGTGAGAGATAAAAAAAGAAGTGTGTGTGTTTAAGTCTGTCTCACACACACACACACACACACACACACACACACACACACACACACACACACACACACACACACACACACACACACACACACACACACACACACACTTTGGATCTGTATGTTTCACGTGAATGTCATATTGACTGCAGGTAAATTAATTGCTTAAAGCTTATAATTCTTCAGCAGGGTAACGGGTTAAATACACAAAAGTGTGTGTGTGTGTGTGTGTGTGTGTGTGTGTGTGTGTGTGTGTGTGAGACGTGTGTGTGTGTGTGTGAGACGTGTGTGTGTGTGTGAGACGTGTGTGTGTGTGTGTGTGTGTGTGTGAGACGTGTGTATATGTGTGTGTAAAGCTACATGCATGTCGATGGTGTAAAGGCATGTAGGCATTTCTGACTGTTTCTCAACACTTCATGTGACAAAACAAGGGATGATAAATCAGCATCAACATCAGTTTCTGGGCTGATGTTAATAACGGGTTTATTTCCGTTACTTTGTTCTTTCTTTCTTTCTTTCTTTCTTTCTTTCTTTCTTTCTTTCTTTCTTTCTTTCTTTTTAACACAGCTTAGTAAAAAAATTGTTTTACGTGTTTCAGCTAATGACTCTAGCCTTCTCCAGAGTTAGATGATGAGTCATTATCGGAAATGTAAGATAAAATTTTTTTTTTTTAACTAAGCTGTGTAAAAAAAATATAAAAAAAAATAAATAAAAAGGACAGGCGGTATTAGTTTGGTCATGTGTCAAAACAGCAGCCCTCTATAACGTCTCTATTATTTTACTCAAGCAGCCCAAATCAAACACCCATTAACACATTTATGGTTTAAAATATGAATACCAGCAATGGAACACAAGATGAAAAAGCTCAATTTAAACACAGATAAGTGCCTCGTGTCGCTGTAGTGGTTCATTCTAAATGTGTGTATGTGTGTTTGTGGTGTTTTAACCTTTAGTTTAAACTCCAGTTGAGGCATGACTGAGGTGAGCAGCATGGGGTCGATGGCAAACAGCTCCTGGATGAGGTCAAAGACGTGTTCTGATAGGTCGCTGACTGATGACTTCCCCATCACTAGAACCTGGTTAAAGAACTGAGGGGGGAAAGGAAAAACAGTCAGACGTGTGTAAATGTAAGAAATGATCACGTATGACAGGATAGAGAAAGAGCAGTGAGCATGTGGAGGATTAAAACAACAGGATCTGTCTTACGTTTGCAATGCAGGTCTCAATAGTCTGGACCGTCCGCTTCAGCAGAGTCTTAGCAAGATCGTATGCTTGCTTGTTCAGATTCTGTTTAAATAGTAGAGAATAAAAAACCCATAAGATAAAAGTGGAACAAAAAACAATCATTTCCAGTGACTCAAGTCTAAGACAACTCAGAAAATCCATTCAAATCTAAACAACACTAATCAGACTTCCCTGCCAGCCAGGTGTGAGGTAGTCTTACTTTGTGTGCAGGTATGAGGTTGATGAGGATGGTGTCCAGCAGCTCCTGCGTGACTCCGTCTCCCTCCATGATGATAGAACTCATCAGGTCCATCATGTGCATCTGCACTTTCTGATTGTGGCTGTTACTGATGAGGAATAAGCAAAGTTAACCTATTAAATCACAATTATTAAAACAGCAATTTCATAATTTCTTTAAATTCCTGTCAAATAAAAACCCCACAAAGGAATCCATCACAACGTGATTATGAGGCCAAAGCAGTGACAGGCATCACAGTAACATTTCAGCAGCACCTTTACTGGCTTTGGCAGCTTTCTAAATGAGATACCCGACAATTTACATTTTATTCTGTCACATATTTTAAATAAATAATACAAAATAGGCTAATTATAGGCTGCAAGATAAAAACATGATGCACCCTGCAGCTATAAAATCTGTCACTAAGCTTCTAATTAGAGCTGATACCATTGCAATATTAATTCTTCTCAATAGACACAAGAGAACAGGTCAATATAAACCTTTAATTTACAGAATAGACGAAAAGCTGTCCCTCGTTCTAGGCGTGGGGACCGGGCTTTCTCAGTCCTAGCCCAGTCACTCTGGACCCAGTTGCCACCCTCAGTCAGGCTATCCCCATCTCTGCCAGCCTCTAAGAGTCACCTAAAAACCCACCTCCTCCACTTGGCGTTCCCTGAATGTGTTTGAGTTAGGCCTTCGTTTATGTTGATTTTAATTCCCTGCTTTCATCGGTCTTTATCTCTTGTTTTACCCGTTTGTTTTCTACTTTAATGTTTTTACCTTTTTTTCTCATGTTCATCGCCTTGGGCTTCCCGACAGGGTCGCGAAAGGCACTTTATAAATAAAGCTTTGATTGTTTCAGCTCCAGAAAAATGGTAAATGGTCTGTATTTGATATAGCGCCTTCTAGAATCCTGGAACCCCCCAAGGCGCTTTACAACACAATCAGTCATTCACCCATTCACACACTGATGGTGATGAGCTACGATGTAGCCACAGCTGCCCTGGGACGCACTGACAGAGGCGAGGCTGCCGAGCACTGGCGCCACCGGTCCCTTCGACCACCACCAGCAGGCAACGTGGGTTAAGTGTCTTGCCCAAGGACACAACGACAGCGACAGACAGAGCGGAGCTCGAACCTGCAACCTTCCGATTATGGGGTGAACACTTAACGCCTGTACTACCGTCGCCCCGAAGAAAAGGCGCCAGCCACTGGAGCAACAGGATGTAAAACTTTGCCGACGAACACAAACATCTTACTTGATAACGGAGAAGAGGGTTTTGAAAAGTTGGATGAAGATCTCATTGCAGTCCTCCAGTTCGAAGCAGATATTGTACGATTTCACCCATGCAAGGTTCTGCCAACAACACAAAACAGATCCACCTTTTCCATCAGTCTCACAGAATCCTTACACTACATCATGGTGCATGCTGCTTTATTTTTCTGTTGTGGCTTTGTTTCAGCTAATGTCTGAAAACCACAAGGCCATAACAGCTTGTATTTGGAAAGTTTAAGAGTTAACTGTAACAACGTACCTCCAGCAGATAGAAGTATCGGTTGAACTGGGGGCTCTTTGTGTCCTCCAGCCCTTTTAACTGTCTTGTGATGAAAAGGAAGATATCCTAAAGGGAAAAGAACATGTTACACTTTTACAGAACCCCCTAGTTCAATGCAAGAGCTAAAATGTTCATCTTGTTCCAGTCAAAATGAAGCAACCAGATGAAAACAAACATGACAGAATCCCAGGATGTCTACTATAACAGTTACAAGCGAAAACTAGCATGTGGTTGGTTGTTTTTAAAGGGACTTTACAGAGTTTTGAATTTTTATGCTCGCGATTGCCCCCTCAGGCCAAAAGTGTAACGGCAGCTTCAATAGGAGGCTTGTGCACGAGGCGCGCATGCTGTACATGCACACTCAACGAAAATAACAGCTGGGACAGTCCCTTGTGTGTGTGTGTGTGTGTGTGTGTGTGTGTGTGTGTGTGTGTGTGTGTGTGTGGCCCAGAGGACAGAGGACAGGAGAACACGCAGCTAATTAATTAAATAATTTGGTTCTGTACCTTTCTCTTCAGCACAGCCGACAAAGCAGGGTATCTGCAGGTTTAAGGGAGCCAAATTTAAGACTTTTTAAGACCTTTTTTAAGGCCACTTTGACCAAATGTAAGCTATTTATTTTAATTAAATTTAAGCTATAATTTCCAGCTATTGGCTGGAAACGGTGCTAACCACGTCGTGAACGTGGGATTAGCCATCCAGTTACCATTAATGTTGCACTTCCCACTAGCATGCTCATCTAAAAATAGCCCCCTTTCACAACCAACTGAATGTGTACGGTTCCGCTTACGCCAATATACACAAAAAATACCAAACTAAGTAGAAATTCATGAACATTTTATAGAAATAAAAGAATATTGTTTATTGGGTCTTTGGTAATTTAAGACCTTTGGAAACTATTTAAGGATTATTTGTCATTTTTAAGGATTTTTTTTTGGAAAAGCAAATTTAAGCCTTTTTAAGACTTTTTAAGGACCTGCAGATACCCTGCAAAGGTTTATGATGGGTCAGTCCTCCTGCATGCTCAGATCATTCCCTTCCCTTGCTCGAAAAATTGTTCCAAAATGAATTCTGTGAATTCAATGCCGTTCGGCGAGTCTCAAATAAACATTTGGGCATCTTACTGTAAAAAAATATACCATTAATGTAAAAAAGAAACTCTAAAACAACCATGTTCACATCCAGAATCAAACCCAGATCTTCTGCACGAAAGCCCGAAGTATTACTAGGCGAGTTAAGCCACCAGTGGTGTCTTCTGTACCTGTAACATTTATATCCTTGATCGCAGCTGAAACAATGTTCAAAGAACGGTTCGGAGGGCTATGCCTGAGCGTGAACGTGCATGAAGCAGCCTGCTCGACCCGAGCATCTCTCTTTTTCTGTGATTTTACAGAAAAACAGGCAATCACAGTAAAAATGCCAGGGCTCATTCTACAGGACCAGGGCATTGCAGGAGAATGTATGAAGAAGACATTTATTATTTCTATACATGCATGTGACACTTCCATAATGCCTCTTTAAATACTGTTGTCTACAAGACACAGCTCCAAGCTTCCAACCTTTAGTTTATCGTGGGAGGTGTAGGGGGCCTCAGGAGCATAGATCCTGAAGATGTCAGCCAGACAGCAGGCCACCAGTAGCCGCACGTCTTTGTTGGGGTTTCTTAGGAAGAACTCAGAGGCTAGATGGAGCGCCAGGCCGAGATACTGCTGCTTCTCTTCTTCAGAGTCTTGATCCATGTCCATGTAGGTCTTCACCACCATCTGTTGAACACATTTAAAAGGGTGGTCAAATGTCTGTGCTTCTCCCCTAGTCACTTATCAGGATTACTGCACTTATATAGAACCGTTACTATAACAGCCGCTCTGAATGCAGTACAACATGATGCCAGGTAATCTATAGTGATTCGCCAGGAAGCCCTCATAATCTCACTTCTCAATGTAAAATACCAATTCAATCTGTAAATAAATAAAACAACCAACCACGTAACAGGAAGCCATTTTTGCATATTTTCTTTTTACTGTAACAAGACTGTGACAGTGGTGTGTTTATTTTTCCAAAGTAAATTAAAATATCATTAGTGACAGAACTGTTCTAAAATCAGGGTATCTGCAGGTTTAAGGGAGCCAAATTTAAGACTTTTTAAGACCTTTTTTAAGGCCACTTTGACCAAATTTAAGCTACTTTTTTAAATTAAATTTCTGCAATAATTTCCAGCTATTGCCTGGAACCGGTACTAACCACGTCGGGAACGTATGATTAGCCATCCATTAAACTTGCACTTCCCCATGGCACAAGCTCGCACTAGCTTAACCAGCTAATGTGCTCATCTAAAAATAGCCCCCTTTCACAACCACCTGAATGTGTACGGTTCTGCTTACGCCAACATCGTACACAAAAATGCTGAACACTAACTAGAAATTCACAAAAATTTCATAGAAATAAAATAATCTAGTTTATTGGGTCTTTGGTAATTTAAGACCTTTGGAAACTGTATTTAAGGATTATTTGTCATTTTTAAGGATTTTCAAGGCCTTAAATTTGGAAAAGTAAATTTAAGACTTTTTAAGACTTTTCAAGGACCCGCGGATACCCTGTAAAATACAAAAACCTCAAGTATCCAAACAAAAACGTGTCAGTATGCATTTAGTAAAACTACACAGGTCTCATGAGAAAGCTGCAGCTATCAGACTGGAGGCTAAAGTACCATCAGGAGCAGCCAGCAGCACTGCACTGTAACCATATCAAACCTTTTATTCCAGCTGGATTTTTTTTCTTGTAAAACAACTTTGTGTTGCAACACAAAGGAGGAGCCAGTTGAGGTGGCTCAGGCATGTAGTAAGGACACCTCCCTGATGAGGTTTCCAGGCACGTCAAACCAGGACCTAAACGAAGACCCAGGACATGCTAGAGGGACTATTGGGCCATTCCCATCTGTACCGGGTCGGCCCGGGCCGGGTAGCGTAGGTTGTTTACATTTCTGGGTGGCCTGGTATTTTTCCGGGCCAACCGAGGCTCATTCTCAGCCCTCTTCTCGAGGGGGTCTGCTTCAGGCCGACCAGGGCCAACACACCCACTGCTGACAGCAAATTCACACCTTCCATTAGAGCAAGCCTCTGATTGGTGGGTAGAATCAGCCCACATGGGCTTAAGACAAGGATGTGTGGAATCAACCGGGCCAGGCTGGGGCCGACCCGGTACAGATGGGAATGGCCCATAATAAGTCTCTTGGCTGGCCAAGGAATGCCTTAGGATTCCCCCGGAGGAGCTGGCCCAAGTGGCTGGGGAGGGAAGTCTGGGCCTCTCTGCTTAAGCTGCTGCCCCTCCGACACGACCCTGGATAAGCAGCCAAAAATGGATGGATGGAAATGGATGGAACACCAGGCAGACTGATGCCATAGACCAGAGTATAATGTGAAAAAGGTTCAAAGGTGACAAGCATCAAATAAGGCCAAGTCGTGCCAGGAGCATTAGTTCAGACGTTCCCCACAGCTCTGCTGAAGCACTTTCTCGGTTTACATTTTATGTACAAGGTCTGCTTTTCCCAACTGTTTCATACAAAACCAACATCTCTTAAAGTTAGGATAAGTTGGAGTTTTCATTTTGAGCAAAATACGAACACTTATGTCAAGAGGTGATGTTCACAGACAAGTTATCAAATGTTTGTTTGGTGGACAAGTGATAAAACATCATACTTCAAGCCGCCACTTCCTCTGTGCACTAGTGAGTGCACAAGAGTTGAAGCACAAGCTGAAAACAGTCGGGCAGCCAGTTGGAGTGGGGGAAGGGCAAAACAGACCCTACATACTGCAGAGCAGCACGCTCAGTCCACGCACACGTTCACAGTTCCTAGATGAAGAAAGCTTCCAGTACACAGACTACTGTGTGGGTCTCATCAGCCAGACACAGCCTGCATCTCTAAAGCCTGAATATTTAGTGAATGTGGACAAAACCAGCAAGAAATACAAACATGGCCCAAAATCCAGACCTTGTTAAAGCCATAACTTTGCCTAGTAGCTTATGCAAGCGGCTCTAATAAGTGCAACTTTAGAAGGCTTTGCCAACTATGAGTGGAGACAAAACGTAATTTCACGCGCGCGCACACACACACACACACACGCACGCGCGCACACGCACACGCACACACACACACACGCGCACACGCACACGCACACGCACACACACCTCGTCCTTTGTCTGTTTGAACCCAATGACAACACTAAACATCAGTTAGAAGAGAAACATATAAAGGAAGTGTTAAATAGTTTTTCCCTCGCCTCCACTGTGAGCATTGCTCTCTCAACGTGGGCAGCATCTCCTGCCATTGTGGGAAGCTGTGATGACACCATGGCAGATCTCTTCAGAATGGTCTCAGCTCATGTGAAACTAAACCAGATATTTGACATCTTTACAGAATGAGCTGGACAGCTGTGTGTTTCAGAACTCTCCTTTGACCAGCAGTTAAATTAAAAAACTGTGTTTACATGCAACTGTATTATATCATCAAACATTCTGGCACGTAGTCATGCAGTCCATTAGCCCAGAAATCTAGACAAACCATAGCAGTAGCTAAAGATTTTACTCTGCATGTTGGTCTAGCCATGCTCCCTTGTAGCCTCAGGTCTAAAGAAATGTTTTGTGGGTTTTGCACCAGAGCTGCAAAAGAGAAAAACTACAAAGATGGTGTCTGCTTTGGACCATTTAGATTTGGGCTTTACTTTGTGACATGAGCAGATAGAGGTACTTCTTCTTTGATGGTGTATGGCAAACTGCACTGTTGACTGATTTCCATGGCGATGAATAAGCCACGTTGTTTGTTGCTGTGCAGGGGCGGCGTTAGGCCCGGCTACTTGGGCTGAAGCCCCGGATGTTTCATAGAAAGCCCCGGATCTAAATCGCGGAAGTAACATGCCTTACCAAAGTCCAACAGAGAGGGAGCAGCTGGCAGTAGTTTGTATACAGCCTGCCTGAGCCTCCACCACTGAAGAAGAAGCCCTTCAGCAGCTGGCTTCTTCTACAGTCTCTGCCTGAAACGCATGAGTGAAGATGGACATAAGAACGTTTTTTAGACCAAAAGTACAACGACAGAACCCCAGCTTTGATGAGACTGGTGCTGACTCAGGTTTGTGAGTCTTATTTGAAAATATTTGTTGTGCTGCTGGTTTGCCTAAAGTTAGCTTACTATCAGGTAAAGTTGTTGGAGAAAGAAAGGGAATATTTACTATCATCTCACACTAAACAATAACAGGAACAATACTCTGCCCTGAAAATGCTTAACATGTAGCTTCAGATTAAAAATTATGTGGTACAAGACACATATATATATATGATGTTGACTAGTGCGTGTCACGTGTGTGTGTGTGCGCGCGTGTGTTAAGCCCCGGATGTTCTTCAGTCCTTAATCCGTCCCTGTTGCTGTGATTGGTCCTAGGGCTGACCAATTGCGTGAGGAGATGTTTGATAGACAACCATAGATTCCCCCCTACAACTGAGTTCTGGTTTGTCAGGCAATCCACTTCACCAGATTTGTAAGAGGAGTTAGTGTTGCTTTTGGAGACTGAGACATGATGCACACAGCATCCTACTTGCCGTGGACTCCTCTCCCATCTAATATGTTTAAGGCAGACTGCCAGTCCTCCTCGCACTGCCACTGCAGCTCCAACTGGTCCTTGCTGTAGTCAGAAGATGTTTACCCCACTGCATAATTGCGCATGCGGGAAAGCGTCGCTGGCCGATTCTACCCACACCAATAGGAGGTTCCTACCAGTAGCAAGATGTGAAAGTGAAATAACTTCAGTCGGCCAATCAGTCCACAGGTGGCTGTATCTAGTCGGCTAAGCATGAAATGGACCACAGAGAAACAGGGACAAAAACGCGGCTGTCTCCGTACAGGCAGCACATGAACAACACCAATATAAATGCAATGACCACAGTCTAAATGGGCCTGTCGTAGGGCGGAATCTACGGCTGTCTTACCAACTGTCAAAGCACACAACTGGACAGCGCCAGGATCAGAGTGACAAACAACTGGACATTTTCATCACAATGAAAATCAGCTAAAGGGGCAGTCCTTACCGAAGAAGAAAATGCATCCCTTTATTAAATAAAGAACTTAAGTACTTCTATCTGCTCACGTCGCAAATAAAAGTTCAAGTCTAAATCGTTCAAAGTTGATGCCAAAGCAAACAAGTCTGGGTTCTCTAGAATAAATGACTGACTTGTGGATAAAACGTTCTCACACTTTTGTGTCACGGGGTAGAAGTTTATAGGGATGTTTATGATACGCAAACACCTCACCTAGGACTGGCTGACAAAAGTGTTTTCCCTACATGGGAGACCCCCCCCCCCACCCCCCGGATTGGCTAACAGCAACACAACTCTACCACTGATTCTGCTTGCTCTGCAACATTATCTTCACAAATAAGACAAGCCTGAATGAGTCCTGCTATGTTGTGGAGTTACTAATGATAATGGTTAGCTTCTACTAGTCGCAACGTTCTCTGCCGTTTTCTAGACGCTAAGGCAACAACAGCCTTACCTGTCACGAGTCAAGATGGGTGACTCCATGAATGTTAAGTGAGAGTGTGATGTAGAGCTGTCAGGCTTTTCAAATCCTAGAGTTTTACCATTGGGTAAGACATGTCCCTGTTATTTAAGATCATCTGTTGGACTTTCTCTACAAAACAAGAAATATACCAAAGCTCAATAATCCAATGAAGTAAAAGAGTTTAACATCTAAGGAAGCAAATAAACTAATTAGTAG